AAATTTTTTATGGCTGAATTTACTTCGATTCCTATTGAAAAAATTCAATACATTTTCTTACCATTTCGTGACCCTAATTCTTATGTATTTCTCATTATCTCCATTTTCGTCTTTATCTTCAATTTTGTCTTCTCTTTTTTGTCTTCATCGTTATCATTTATTTCTTCATCACCATATTTATCTTTATTACAAAATTTAATTTCAAATATGAAGTGAAAAAAAATGCAAAAACAATTCAAACTGAACAGGTTTCAACCACAACTATACGCAAATACGATAAACTTGGCCGCAATTTTCAATCAATATTTAAACCATAAAAATTCTCAGAAATTCTCGTCTACAGAAAAATACCTTTTCAATTGTGTTCTTGGTTTTGAATCGCTAAACGAACGGAGCCAACGAAGTCATTGCTGATGAAGGTTGAGATTTCTGACTATTGGACTAAATGTTCCATCTTTGCCTACCCTGGCGTTAAAGTTGCCCATCCTGACGCAAAGTCGCCAAGCGTGATTTTAACATTGTAGAGTGGGTTGCGCTCATAAAAATTCTCCTTAATCTCACCTCTCTTCTCTTCCGTCAGGACACAAACGGGGCTTATCCCGTTGAATTTAGCCCTTTAGCGGTTTGTGGCAGTGCATTCCCTGAGTAGACCCAGAGCACAACCCATTGCTGGGAGGTCTTATTAAGATGCATGACAGGCAAACGCTTGCAGCCGCACTTATGTTGAACAGACGTTGCTGGCAATAGTGCACTATTAAGCCGTACAAGAAGGAGTGGCCCCATCGAAGCAATTTCTCTTTTTTCCTTGACCCAAAACTCCATTTAGGTTGGCTACCGCATCTTGCACATGGGTTGATCACGTTGCCCATTGAGTGTACAGAGTTGTAAAGGTATAACCGCGTACCTAGAAGAATGATCTTTCTACATGGTACTCGTAACTAAATTTCGCTATATAAACTATTATAACACTGCACTACACTTATTTAGTTCACAGCCCTTTGAGCAAAATGTGAGAACAGATGAGGCACTGAATAATGAATATATATTTATCAAAAGCTTAAAATGCAAACTCCTTTTAGCGCCAGATACATGCATATATAAATCAGCCGATTCAATTATTTAGCATTTATTTTCTTTTAAATTTCCATTACTTAGAGACCCTGCTTTTAAATTACTTCATTTACTTGATTCCAACATATTTAACTTTAGCTATCCGAAGCCAAATCCAATTTTCACAAATAACTCGTATTTTATAGCTCCTTTTTCAGCCAATTTGCCATACAATTACCAATTCCATTCACGCCTTCACTATTCCAGTTTCCCACTTTCTTCAACCCTTTAAATCGCCATGGCAATTGAACGGACAGTTGGGAGCTGCTGGCAAACTAAACTAACTAAAACAAAAAAAAACGAGAATTTAACAGAACAGCTGGATATAAAATTCTAAAAAGGTTAAACGTAGAGGAATTTATACTAAATGAAAGCAAAGAAAATAAAATATAAATATACAGTGGTGGGAAACTAAATAGGGACGCGACATTTTAACAAGGATTGACTATTTTCTTTTGCTCATCTAAAGTTTATTGTTTTTGTTTTTGAAAGTACAGCTCTGTGTCTAAATAATAAAATCATGTAAGTCTGAATTTAAAACCATGTACAAACAGTGGGATAAAACGAAAAAATATTAGGTAGTCTGTTTTGCAGGCCATTAAATTCTAGCATAATAAAGTGACATCTTGAAGAAGGTAGGACTTACTTTTGATTTTTAGGAATTTTTTCTTATGCATTTCCTATCATCCAAAGCAGGGCTTCGGAGCGGATCAAAGGAGCAAAGAGCAAAGGATTTTAACTGAAGCGGATGTATAGATGTAGTTATATTTTCTAAAATAAGATCATACGATTGATGTTATCAGTTTTTGGATATCAGTTTTGGGATAACAGGCGACGATATTTAATTTACTTGGCAATTTTTTTGTTTCTATTGGATGCAGAATTGTTCATAGAGCATCTAGATTCTAGATGCATTTCTGCATCAAAAAGAAAATTTTCAAAAAATTTCTCCTACGTTTTATTGGTGCTTAGTCCTCGATATATAAAGAAATAATAAAAAAAAAAGTTTTTGTTAGTGGGAGTGGAGCTAAGGGCGGAGTTCGGAGCAAAATAAAATGCCGGAGCGGAGCCACAGCGGAGCGATGAAAACATAAACCTGTGCTCCGTAGCCGCGACACAAAGTATGTGTGCTCGAATTTTGCTTTTATATAGATGAAAATATAATGGGCTACAAAATTGCAAAACTAAATTTTTTTTTAATTCAGAATAAAAAGTTTAAAATTTCATGAAAATTTATTAAAATAGCGAATCCCTATTTATTTGCCCGCCACCGTACATATATGCAGGGATTTTCGAATTTTCTATTCAACAATAAAGAATCGGAAGCCACCGACAAAACGTGCTGAGATATAAATAGTCAGATATTTACTGCAACTACATGGAGAGTTTCGACTGTGACAGTCAGTACCTTAGACACCACATACTAGAAATTTTCTCACACCAATACAAATGCCACCAAATAAAATGTCCACTGCGTCCTTTTGATGTGAAAGTAAACTGACTGGTTAGCTGACAGCTGTAAAAGTCCAATTGTGCAGACTTTGATATGTATATGTATGCATATGTACTCGTATACGTATTTACATACTCATATTAAAGTCTGAATGGTGTGCTCCATGTGGCCACTGAGGTTTTGTTCGAAGGATTAGTGTGACTTTATCACGCGTTGCGATTGCGCTCATTTAATGCGCTTTGATAGTAAATTTAGCGAAGGATTTTGTGAATGAGATTAGTTAGAGAAATATGTAGAGTAACGAGTGAGGAGAAATTGAAAATGTGAGATAGTGAAATAGAATTTATACATATGTACAAATAATTTAAATGAAACTAAAGGAAATGGTATTAAAGAAAGGGATTTTGGGTTTTGTTTCCTAAATGTTTCCAGAAAATATTGACTTTATTAAAACTCTGAGAAATTCCTTAAGCTTAACAAAATTTAATATATTAATTCTGGGTGTCTAAATTAGCATCAACTAACTTAATTTGCCAAAGAGAGAATTCGGGTAAAACAAATACGTAGGTATATGTACCAGTATTTTGATAATTGAGATAATATAGGATTTGCATATTGATGTGGAAGCTCCAACACCCAAAGGACCCCTGCAAAAATATACCGCATAGTGCTTTCCGCAGTCCTGAGGGATCTGGGAGTGCGATATACTTGAGGATTAAGTGATAATGGTACGAGTAAAAAGGAATTTTGTTGCTCAACGATTCCCTTTTCAGGCGTTTTCCTCGAGACGTTGAGATGTGGCGTATTTTTTCCGTACCGTAGCACGATAGAAACCAGCGTTCATTTCCTGCAATGAGAGCGCATGAGAGAGCATGCAGAATAAATCGCTTTCTTTTAATATTAGTCTTATTTTGAATATTTGGGGTTTAAAGAGATGAGCATGAGTGGTGCTCTAAAGCTCACGCATTCACTGATATTATTTTTTGTTCCGTGAAGCAGGGTAGCTTAAAAATTATCGAGATGGAATCAGTTTGGCTTGACATCCGGTTGGGAACAACTGTTGTTGGAACGGTCGCTTTATCGTGCGGCAATCGGCAATGACCTTTTTGGTATGTCCAAGGGTGTTGTGTTTTAGTTGCGATAATTACTGGTAAATAAAGCCTTGCGCTCTGCCAAGTGATGGGATTCGTAATAGGGGCTCGAGCTTTACTTACATTATTATTTATAAATTTTTTGGGGGGATAGAATTTTTCATAGGGGTTCCTGGGAAGCTCTTACATGTTTACTACTTCGAGAATCACAAACCTAGCTGCGAGAAATTTTTTCTTTTGACATCACGAGAGTACTCGTGATGATAACAGCGATTACTCCCGCAGCGTTAGAATTTTTTGGGGGCTTTTTTTGTGCAAATATATACGAAAACTGGCATACGGCTTCGAAATGTCCACTTACCCGATGGGGATGGGATTTTAAGTTTGGGAGTTTAATAAGAAAGTAGTAGTTGAGATAACAATTACCGTGGCATTCCGTCTAGGACAGTTGAAAGTTTGCTGTAAATAATACAGGTGAAAGAAAGTATGCAAGTTATTTTGAAAGACTTTGTTTATTCTGACACGTAAGACTTACAAAAAAGCTCCCTTGCCAAATTTCATGGTGAAAATCTCATTTGACAAAAAGCAGAAAAATTATATCGCGCCGCTCCAAAAGTCGCAATGACCCAGTGGGAAAAGCTCGCCGTGCCATTCGAAGCTAGATCGAGTCCTCGGGCAGCGGATTTTTTTCTATTATTTTAAATAATTTTATTCTCTTACAATTTTTGGGTTTTGTTGTTTTAAAAAGGAAATACATATATGTATTTCTTTAGTTTCATTTAATTTTCAGAAACTAATTTTATATCATATCTACATATACATATATTTTTTTAGTTTAGTTTTTAGATTTTGTTGTTTTAAATAGAAAAATATATATATTTCGCATAGATTTTAGAAACTCTTCTCTTTTTAATTAATTTAAATTTAATTTTCTTGTGATTTTTGGATTTTGTTGTTATAAGAAATATCATATTTTTTAATTAAATTAAATTTGTTTTTAATTTTCGGAGTGCATGATTTTAAAAATTCGAAATATATTTTTTAATTCGCTTTAATTTTAAGACACTTGTATTTTTTTATTGTTCTGCATTAAGTTTTTTCTTTGTTTAATAAATTTTCTTTAGTTTTTAGTTTTAACACCTTTAGAAATAAAAATATATATTTTTTTTTACTTCAACTTGAGTAAAATGTTTCAGTGTTCGATTACGTATATAAAAATAAAACGTATATATGACCAATGTGCCTTCGCTGAAATTAATTTCATTGATACATATCTGTTATCTCACTTATTGCAATGTATTAATTAAATAGTACGTTGAAAACATTTATTTCTCTTTGTCTTTCAGTTCGATTGCAAAAACTGCAAATATGACGCTCTTGTTGGCGAAGCAAATCCAAGCAACAGTTACGATTACAATGGCAGTGGAAATATTGCTGGCTGTGGCACTGATTCTGGAGACGGTAAGCGGCATGCGTTAATTAAATTTTTAAAATAATACTTTAAATCCCATAAAAATTCCGCTGAGAAAACTTGCGCTGACCTTTTGTGTAAAAGAAAGTGTATCTTATTGGTATAATTCGCGCAAAACTTCTTAATACGTAAATTTAGTAATAACTAAAGCCATCTTCCCAACCACTAAATATATAAATAGTAATTTGAACAAAGGGTTTTCATGAACTTTAGTCAAGGAAAGCAAAAAATATCAAAAGAAAGATAGAGTTGTAAAATTTAAGGAGCACTAAAACACCCCAATACATACATTTCTGTAATATGCAACAAAACAAAATTTAATAATATAAAAAAAAATATTTAAAACAAATTTTAATTTAACATGTGTACTAAAATTATTAATACAAAATAAGTTACTTAAAGCTAAGTGATAAGTGTATTAATTTTCGTTGGAGATACAGTCCAGGAACTTGAAAAGTGACAATGTTTTTCGTTATTTTTTTGGCTTAGTCTTCCCTTATTTAATTTCAATTAATTAAAATATAGTTCATTCTCTAGCAAAAACCTTTTAAAAGCGAATTCCAAGTTTTCAAAAAAATTTCACAAATTCACGATTTTCACATTTTAAACATTTTGCTTTGAATTTTTTTGAGTGTACAGTTTTGTAACCAATTTTAGTATCTGAAAGTAACTGAAGACAGTTGTCCAGAATTAAGCAAAACAAGTTATTTTCCAAAAAATTCGAAAAACTGTATAATAATAAAATAAAAAATAACTAATTGTTCTGAAGCTACTAATACTCACAGTTCTATATAGTATGTACAGTTTTGTTCGTACTATTGCACAACTTTCTTTTGCTTTTCAGGAACCGTGGAACTATTAAAAAGTTACCCAGAACAGATTTCATTTTTATCAAACATTATATTTTTTCGACATTTTCGAAAACCTGTTTTCGGCGTAATTTTGCAGAACCTTTTATTCCTTCTCAAGAACCCTAGAACTATTAAAAATCGACTCAATGAAGTTTTTATTTATAAAATAAAATGTCGACCTTTTTTGCACAACTTTGCACACTTTAATTTTTTTAAAGCATTAAATTTTTTCTACTTTTTCGACGTCATTTTATAGAACTTTTATTCCTTTTCAGGAACACTAGGACCATTGAAAAGCTGCTCAGAGCAGTTTTTATTTAATTTTTTTTTACCATAAATTTTTTTCAACTTTATGGAAATTTTTTTTTTGTCATATTTAGCAGAAATTTTTTTCTTGTACACGAACCCTAGACCTGTAAGAAAGCAACTAAGAACAGTTTTCATATTTTTTACGTAACTTTTTTCGACTTAATTTTTTTTGCGAAATTTCGCAAAAGTTCCTTCCTCCTTAAGAACAATTTAAAAGCTACTCAGAATAGTTTCTATTTATTTTTTTTTTAAATAAAATTTTTTTCGTGGTAATTTCGGGGTAATTTTTATTTTCTTAGATACTGGAAATAGTTTTTTATTTGCATTTTCCGTTTGCTGCATGAATTTGGCATACCAAATTTCTGAATTTTTTTTTTTTCGACAAAATAGCCAGAACTTTTCTTTTCCTTTTCCTAACTCACATATTAGGGGTATTTCGAAGTCTTGAAAAGCATTTTCACGATGTACGGATTACACAGTGCTGTCCCATAAAAAACAGATTCTTACCATGCAATGCGAGCATGCTGTGCACCGAGCAAGGGCTTTTCAAGACTTCAGGAACATCCTTAATGTGTTTGATTTGTTTCTGCATTTTGGCAAAATTTAGTGCAGCTTTCTTTTAGAATAGGATTATGTTAGGGCAAAAGAAGATTTTTGTATCACTGAAGAAATTAGCTAACACTTTCGGATCATTATTTAAAGAATTATAAATTTCTTAGTCCTACGAAATTTATTTTGTTGGTTCCCACTTAAAGCAAATTTAGCGTCTTGACTTTCATCAACCTATCTACTTTTCTATTCAAAACCCTGACTCTTAGTACATTCGTTACGTTTGCTTTCCTATATTCTTTTAGACTCCTGCCGTCTGCTGCAAAATTCACCAGCGAAATTAAATCAAAATCAAATGTTGACTGGAACGAAAATCAATGCACAATACTATCAGCAACAGCAGCAGCATCATCAACCGCAGCTACAACAGCAGCAGGAACAACAAAAGAGACCAGATGTTATGTTAATGGCAAAACCAGCTATGACAGTGCAAAAACAAATGCAGCAACAATACCAACAGCTTTACAGCCGTTCAGCCACACCATCACCGCAACATTTTCAACAGCAACCACTACAACAATTGCAACAACAAACATCAACACCGCCCCATGGCCTGCAAACATTCCACATCGTTTCGGCAAGCTCATCGCCAACACACCACCACCAGCAGAGTCAACAGCATCAACAACAACAACAACAACAGCAACTGCCACAGTCGACACTCCGCCAATATGCAACACTGCAGCCGCATCAACATAAGCAGCAACAACAACAATATGTGGCTGTACCCAGCGGTGCTTTGGTGCGCTTTCAGACAACAACAGCAACACCCGCTGCAACGGTAGCCGCATCAGCGCTCAGTGGCAACAGCAATAATTGCACCACCGATGGCAATGGTAATGTTGGTATAGGTCTTGGTGCAACACTCATCGCTACTGGCATGTCCGGCAATTGTTTTCAAACGGCGAATGTGCCGCTGCCTGGAAGCACAACCACGGCCACAATTTACTTTCCCATTGCCACTGCCGCGCATACACAGCAGCAACCCACCTATGCGTCGATTACGGGTGTTTCCGTTGCGCCGCCGGCGCCGCTGCCCCCAACAGCAGCAAACAGCGATGTGATGCTACCGACAAAAGCAATGGCCGGTACCAGCTCCGCAGCCGCAGCCGCAACGCAATTGCTTTGCAATCAGCCGATTGTGAAATATCACACCATACAACTGTCGCAGGTGAGAAAACAGCAACAACAACAACAGCTGCTTCTAAAGGAGCCCGTAACATTGCTAGGTAGCGCAGCTGATGTGATGCCGCTGCCGCCACCGCCAGCATATCAGACGGCTACCGTGCATGGTGAGTAAGAGATTGTTGGAGATTTTGAAAAGTATTAGTACGAGAGCTCTACAAATAGCTTTTCAGGCTTTCAGCGCTTCATCTAGCTACAAGTTTTATATTGCGGCGTAAGCGCTTAATGCCTTATGGGCTTAAAAGGCTGAGTGCGGAGTTCTACTCTGACATTTAAAGTACAGAAATATGGCTAAAGTGAAAGCTAATTGTTAAAGGTGCCTGCTTGGAATCATTTCGTATAAAATGTGAGGCGCTGAATAGCTTTCGAACCACTGATTTGGTTTGAAAAACTTGCTGGATAACAATAATTTCTTAAAATATTTTCTATTCGGTTGAATTTGAATAAGCTGAATAATAAAATAATGCGCTGAATAAAAACGAAATTTAATGACTTATAACTGAGCTGAATAACAACGAAGTCTGCTTATCTGCTATCAACTAAATTGCATTCAATTAAAAACTTAAAAGCTTTCTTTTTGCTGTATTTTCGTTAGCTGAATACCGAAATAATGTAGTGATTAAGTTTGACGATTCTTTTTAGTAAATTAGTTAGTTCAAATTACTATTTTAGGCTCGCCTGCTTTATTCAAAATCGCTGAAAAAACTATGGACAGTTTATAGATAGCGCTGAATATCTACAGCATACTGAAAATGTTAATTCATTTTCTTCCAACATACAACAAATCAATAATTTTTCAAATATAAGCCACTGTCAATTGATAAAAGATTAAATCAATGAAGTTGTACGCGCTGAATTGCTACAACCCAGCAAAAAATCGGTAATCGCTTTCAGTGGTAACGTGTTCTAGAAGGCATAGCGTTGTAATGGCTTAGAATTTTTTCGCTTCTTTTAGGCATTGCCGGTAATGCAAAGTAGAATGTCCTACAATAGTTTATTTATTTCGCTTCTTTGTTTCATTTCGGGGAATGCAAAGTAGAATGTCCTACAATATTATATTTGTTTCGCTTCTTTGCTTCATTTCAGGGAATGCAAAGTAGAATGTCCTACAATATTTTATTTATTTCGCTTCTTTGTTTTATTTCGGGGAATGCAAAGTAGAATGTCCTATAATATTTATTTTTTAATTCGCTTCTTTGCTTCATTTCCGGGAATGCAAAGTAGAATGTCCTACAATATTATATTTGTTTCGCTTCTTTGCTTCATTTCAGGGAATGCAAAGTAGAATGTCCTACAATATTTTTTTTATTTCCCTTCTTTGCTTCATTTCGGAGAATGCAAAGTAGAATGCTGCATCGTAGTGAGCTGAAAAATAAAATGAATATCCAAAAATTCTTTTTCTACCGTTATTTTCTTTGGATTTTGTCTCGCATAAAAATCATGTTTTGCTTTGTTCAATTTGCAGCGAAGTTGAAGTCAGTCAATGAAGTGAAGTACAAGAGTGAGGAAGTACGATTTTAAGCTTTATTAAATAAGCATGTATGTACATACCGATTTTTAAGAAAATACAACTGAGCTGATTTATAAAAATTTTAATTAATTTTAATCTTTTAAGACATTTTCTGATTTCAATTTAATATAACTAAGTATGCACTTATCTAGGCATTCTACATTAGTTTCTCTGTAAGGCATTCTTTGTTCGCTTCTCTGGATTCTGTTTATCCATGCGTTCTCCCTTCGTTTGAAGGTAATGCTGCGGGTAAGGGCTTACCGCCAATGACATGCCCATGTTAAAATAAGGCCTTCTTGAAGCGAAAGGGTAAGCGATTCCCATCGCCTAGCTCGTTTCCACTTTCGTTTCTGTGGTAATCGGGTTTTTTGCTGGGAAGTGCCACTTAATGTAATTTTGAGAATGTACGTAGCTAAATTGCGCCGTAGCTAAATTGCGCTGAATTCGTGAGAATCCGCCTCGCTATAAAATGTGTGTGCGAATTAATTGTAATAACAATAATGGCGCCATTCAATTGCGCTGAATTAGGAAACAGTTAGCTGAATAGAGTTTAAACATTAAAACACTTATAGACGTAAACTAATGCAATTACAATATTTGACTAAAAATCAACTGAATACTAAAAAATTTTAAGTATATTTGGGTAAATTTCCATATTTTGCTGTAAGACTTAAATTTTCCTACAGTAACTTAACAAAGAAAATGACCATCAAATTTGCATTCGTATTTATTTATTAGCATGCCTTTAAATAAATTTATTATAAACAAATATTTAAAGAGCGGTGCATTTTATGTGCGCTGAATAAGGCAAAAATTAGGTGAATAGAGTTCACATACTTAGTTAAAAAAATTATAAACGCTAACTTTTGACATGAATATTTTTTACTAAAAATTTGCTGAATTTTCACAAATGTTTAATAAATTTACAGAAATATCCATCTTTTGCTGAAAAACTCAAATTTTTCCTATGCTGAATTGACGAAATAATTGGTTGCTATAAAATTTTCTTGCATATTATTTAGTTTTTCAACATGAACTTGTCACAGAAACTAATTTGCTTATGATGAATTAAACACAAACCGAATGAATTAAATTGTTGTTAAAAAATATGTTAAAAATTGCGCATTTTAAGTGCGCTGAATTAGAAAAAAAAAGCAAAGTACGTTGAGTCTATACAGTAAAAACACCTTAGAAAGTTAAACATCAGCAAACAAATTGTAAATAAAAACAGCTGATATCATAAAAACTTATAAGTTTTTTTTTTGTAATATTTCATCTTTTGCTGTTAGACTTTAATTTTTCGTGCGCTGAATTGGCAAAGAGCAAACGAATTTAGTGTTCGGATACCAAGGCTTAAAGAATATTAGTAAAGTAGGAGCGCTGAATTACTAAACATTTAGCTGAATAAATATTTTTTTATCAAAAAATAAAATTTTTACTTAGCAGAAAAAATGATTTTCTTAACATACAAATTTTACTTTCCGCTGCTTTATTTTCGCACTTAATTGCAAACCAATGTAGCGGAATGAAATTGTTGTAAAGAAAATTCTTCCAAATTACACAAATAAAGCGCAATAAAGCAAAACTCAACCGAAATTTTATAGAGCATGTATTCAACTTTTCTGAAAATATTTATCTTAAAATATTTAACTACACTATAATCAAGTCTTCTTTGTACAAACAGCTCAAATTTTTGTCCGAAAGTTTTCATTCTCTTATACATTAAAGGCACATCTTCTTCAAACTTTCACTTGCAACATCATTGCTTTCAGCCAAACCAATTTTAAATTCTTTAACATTTCGCTTTGTTATCTACACTACTTAGCACAGCCATTAAATCTGTAAATCCACTTGCGTTGCTGTAAGAAACTTTCACTCATTTTAAATCAACTACAAACTTTGACGTGCCAAAACTCAGTCAACCAAGGCAAACCAACTAACCGACAAACCAAATACAGCAACAGGAAAAAAAAGAAAGGCATTTGAAATAGCAACAGCAAATATTCAAGAGCAAACAGCAAATGGCAAAATTAGTTTGCAGTAAGCAGTACACACCAAGCGCCCCGTTCCCGTCCTCTATAAACTTCCCTTACAGTAACGCTACTGTTGAGCTTTAGTTGTAACTCAGTTACTTACCCCTTTGGTTATGTGTTGCACGCGCCACATAGCTGCACTTTAATTGCATTTTGCTTTCAACTTAAAGTTATAAGCCCAACACAGCAACCAATAACAACAAAATAAACTTATGCATTGCTGCAACATCAGCTCACCATTGGCTGATGGTGCATACAGCAAACTTTTCGTAGTTGACTTTCATTAGTGGTTTGTTGAACAGAGTTCGGGTGAGAGCAACCAGACCCCAAGTACGGAAGCCAAGCAAATACTTCACCCTTCTTTGTGTATAAAAAAAAAACAATGCCAACTTTGCATGCCACATTGATGTGGCAATTGAAATTTAAGTTCTGCCTTCCTACTCACATGTTGAAAAGCTGTGACAGTAAAGAAGTTAGAAAAGTAGAGTTCTTGTATCTATATTTACATATACCATACGTAACGATGAAGGTCTCACTTTGTTTGAGAGCTTGCGGTCACCGCCTGTTTTCTGGTCTAGAAGTTAGCCCGCAACACTGATGCAGCTATTTAGTTGACATGAACCACACATGCTCTCACGCAAATAGGACCTTTTTGTCAGTTGTCAAGAGTCGAAGGAATTGTATACTCTAGACATTTTCAAGGTAATTTTGGGCCACACTAGTATCAGAAGAACTGACCTTTTCTGATACCGCTGCCAACGGTAGTTGCTAAGCAATAGTAATAAACGATCTCTGGTATTTAGACCTGCAAAAGATGTGCAGTTTCGAGGAAAGTTTGAGATGGCTTCCACTTCTTCCTCATCCAAGCAGCAAACAAATTTAAAACCTGGCGTGACATTTAGCCTGAATGTATGAATCGGTCAATACATGCACCAGAACTCAGAGGTTCATCTTTGAAGACAACTTTTGATTGCTTCTGATCCATCCTGGGCTAAATTACACATTTCTTGGTCTCGTTCGGTTGACAAGAGGCTAATCTGACAAAGAGTAGTCCGCGTGTTCCAAGGTATCTTCACTCTCTGTTTTCTCGGTAAGTTCGACTCGAGGGCATCTGACTAGGACTGAGTAGGAAATATACAGATATTTCCCAAACAAGCTTTGAGGGCAGCGCAATTCGGTCCATGGCTCCGAGTGAAAAGAAAAAAAATGTGTACATCGATACTTCAACGTAAAAATTTCTAAAAAGAAATATAATAATACGAAGCCATCCAATATCTCAAAAACCACTCTACAAAAAGGCTATTAAATATAAAAGAAAGTTCGTAGTGATGCTACATACATTTGGAACCAAAGAATCGAAGCTAACAAACTTTGAGGCAATATTAAAAAAATATCGTCATCTCCTTAGAGAATTATAGTAGACAGTTTGACTCTGTGTCAAATGATGATAGTGGGTACTTGACCCTCGTAATCTTTTAGCTACACGGTTTCCTTAGGAGCTGTGCACTTCCTATACTTATTGTTATCCACCATACCAAGTTTGAGGCTGTGAGTGCAAGGAGGA